ACATAATCATCTTTATAATTTCATCAAATAGAAATAATTCTAATAAATGAACTAATAATTTTATATTTTTAATAATGAATAAATATAATTATCCTAAACGATGTCATAATATATAAATGTAGATACTATGCGTGGGTTCTTGTAACCTTGAGAACTTTAAATTACATATTAGATCATTTTTGTGTTTGTATATCGAACTCATTTTTTCATAGTAAATCTGATTGGTTGTTGCTTTGGTTGTTATTGTTAATGTTGTTGTTGTTGTTATGTGTATTCACAATGTAATAGTAAACATTCCATAAAAACAAAAAAAAAACTGTATTATTTGATTGTTTTCACTGGTATCATAGTTTAAGTTATTATAAGTAATAATTAGAAATAATAAATGAACTATTAGACAAATAATTTATTATACACTATTAATGATATAAACCTTTTTTATTCAATAGTTTTGTATTAAAGAAAATAATAATTTCTTTTTCTTCGTGTGATTACTGCAAATTTTCATTACGTTTTACTTTTTAATTAGTAACGAAATTTTCTAATGGATTAATTGAAGATTTTATATAAATAAATATTCATTGTGTATTTCTATTCAATCAATATTTATCTTTTTGTATTCTAATGCTGATGTAATTTAACATAATAGGGATTTGTGAAGAATGTAGTAAGTTTAATAGTTGAATTGATTTAAGTTAGATCACTACTTGAAAACTTTTTTACGTAGTTTTTGTAAATAAATGCTTAGTTTGAACATAATAATGTTTTTCTAACGATTTGTGCGTTTTGGATTTATAGTCATCTATTTATTCATATATAGTTTACGTTAAACTGAATCAAATGGTGTTCGAGTTGACTCGTCATATCCGTCGCTTATCAACCAATAAAGTAACATAATAGTCTTTGTCTCTACCTAATCCCGTTAGTTTCAATTCGGACTCACTCATTTCTAGACTGAAGATTGAACTGTATAGCTTATCGTGTCAAGGCCTTAATCTTAGTCGAAACAAGTTATCTCCTGTATACTGTTGGGCAAACAGATCGATAACATGACACCCTTCTTCACTAAGCAAAATTAGTGATCCTAAATTGAAATGTGAATTCATGCCTTGGATCATTTGTAGCCCTGTTCGTCACATATTATATCACGAAAATCATACTTCATTGTATTGCGTAAATCGTGGTCCAGCTCTAGTCAACTTTTAAAATGATCTTCGCTCTACATCTCATAGTTAAATTCAAGCGAAATTTATTATAATCAGCTGCCGTTAGAGTGAGTATGTAAAAAAATTTGACTTGCTTGAAAGCATATATATAAAATCGACTAATGCCTACACATCCCAAACTAAACTAGCATTCATTCAGTCTCTTAATTCATCAACATAATCGTTACTACGTTAGTCATTTAGTGTCAGCTCTGCCTGCAGTCCTTTTAGGTAAACTGCTGGTCTCAACACAGAATAAAAGAGGGTTGGGGATGGATTCAGAGAAACAACTTCGTTGAAGAACCTTGCGGGAAAAACGCTCATTAGGAAAAAAACCACTTAAAACTGTTAATGATGACGTTATGGCCTATACCAAAAACTAAAAATAAGTCTGTATTCCTGCACATTCCGTAAACTTACTCAATAATCGCTTCTTCTGTCTTCTTCCGTTCCTTTTTCAACTGTGGGTTCTACGCTTTCAAGTGCCTGAGCCGTATATCATATTAATCATGATTAAGCAAAAGATGAGACAAACCACTTGAACTCTGGCTGGGAGTTGAATTGTCTTTATGAGTTATGATGCCTAGTTGTTTAGACTAGCAAAATACAAAAACCTGTTCTTTCCTTGTATTATCAATTAAAAGGGAATAAAGCACTGAAAAATTTAGAAAAATGTCAAAAGCCTGGGTGTTAAACAACAAGCGTTTATTGCGATGTTTGTAATACTCCTAGTTTTGACGGTCCAAATGTGTTTCTCATTTCTTTGTATCAATGATAATCTCTAAGACTGGCTAATAATAATATTTTGCAATTATGATCTGAGTCGATTTTACATACCATGATATAAAGCCATATGTAGTGTCTGTAAGGAGCTTCTATGTTGAAGATGTAGTTGTTTTCCTGATATATTTCAGTTAATTATAGTAGTGATCAGTTTCCTATAATGCACTCAGTGTTCTACACCTCATATATTGTACGTTAGTACGAAAATACGTTTCCCATTCAGCCATGAACAAGTGAATAATGTGGCTTTACCACTAAATAAGAACACGACACGAACGTTCGTATTGCAAAGAATCATGGACAAGGATGGATTGCGTCACTTAAGAAACAATACTTATTATTATTGTTGTTATACGTAGACTTCTTTTTCACCTGATATGCTAAAGACACGTTTTAACCAATCTGAATGAATGCAGTTTGATATCTTCAAAAATAACATCATGAACCGTATAATGATTCGTCGCTTTAAGTTTCAGTAGTTGGTGAATAAACATTATAATAGTAAGAATTAACCATAAATATACCAACTGCCACATCGGTAATAATACTGTATTGTATAAGCATGACAAAGTACACTGTCAAGAGACAGAGTTTGAAAAACTGTACATGGCCATGAGAGTGAAGTCGTTTAACATGGAAAAACCACTGTGAGATATTGAGGAATTTTCTCAAGAAGCTATCCTGCTAAGCATCTCTCAAGAGTAGGACCTGTATGGAAAAGATAATTTCAATCTTAAACATTGTTCAAAATGCATGTTTCAAAAAAACATGGAAGATTATACTTATGGTTTGCGAAAAAGCACCTATTACTCATTGAGAAAATTACGCAACTCCAAAGCTCCAAGTGATTGAAAATATTATTAAATCACGTCTGGGGCCATAATACGAGCTTTTTCAAAATATCTAAACAGGATGTTATTGCTCTGCAGTCTGACTTCATGATGATCATATGATACTAGTATTCATAGAATATGTATCCTGCTGATCATATATATAGCTTGTAAACGTACCCCGTTAATAACAATACATATATAGGGATTTAAATACAAGCGTATTTGAGGGACATATATTTCAGACAATGGTTACTGCAGACGAACGTTGACAGGCGGAAAGAAATACATGGGGACGGGAGTAGACAAAATTTAAAATTCAGTGAGTGTTTAATGACTCAGTATCTATGACTATGGAAAAGATACAAGTAAGTATGTAATTAAATACCTACCAGTATACACGCCTGGAGCATCCACAAAATTACACGTGAGTACTCTAAAAGTATAGATATATTTTAATATAAGAACTTAAAAACTGTTCAGACTAATTCCTCTGGCAAAAGTTAAATGATTCATGCACTCATGATAAAGTATTTAGTGCAATGGGCTCGCAAACACATAAAAGCTTATGAACCGTAAACCTTTGTACTTAAAGGCATCAACCTAAATTTCACAATGCCGTTATGCCCAACTTCTCAATAGAGATAACAGTCTCTCGAAAATAGACATAGCTTTATTCTGTATTGGCTACAGTAGAACACTACGTCAAATGACAATGGCACACAATATGGTTAGCATGCCCAGTTATACAAAAATAAATATTCTACCAGAATGACATTACAAAGCCCAATGAGGCCATATTTGGAAATTTTCACATCAAGAACGGAGACTTGAGCAAGCTAATACCTTTGTTCATGAAGGGTTACCCCAATCAAAATTATCAAAGCCTTTTCGATGTACTCACCCATAAGACGCTAATTTTCCCTTCGACTGCCTGTATCTCATACATGTCCCTCAACTACAACAACTATCACACCCATCAGTATATTGCTACACTTTTATTTTTGGGTTTTTCCTGCTTATTTGTTATTTCGTTGATAAATTTTATTTACGAAGTAACCACCCGAAATTCGCCTTGGCAACGTGATACCTGTTTATTTTAGAGATCGTACATACCTGAGAAGTACATGTCTGCTTGAAAAAAAGATACGAAATCCCTGGATAACTACTGAAGTGGCTACAACCAGAGCAATCAAACAATCTTAAAAGCCATATTAAGCAATACCAAACATCTGAATACATCACCCATATAAATATCCATGTAAGGCTCCAACATTGCTTCTCACCTCATTAATTTTTCTGGATACATGGAGAGGAAGGTGCTCCGTCACTCATCCACACCAGATCTCGAGTGAGCACGCAGCGCTACTCATCGCTTTCAACTGCCAGCCAGCTCAGACCAAACGTTCCTCGACATTCGATAATCATTCAAATATATCTTATATATCTTTAACAATGTTGGATGCCGGCTCGGCGGTCGGGTGGATTAAGCGTTCGCGCGTGAGACTGGAGGCCCTGGGTTCTTTGGTCTCTCCTGCTTAAAGCTTCCTCTCAAGAACCAGATACAAATCTTCGAAAGCGAAGGGTTCTTTGAATCAGAGAGAAGTGCGATCTTCAGTGTTTATTAGGTTTTTATATTGCTTGAATTTTTCTAATGAATGCGGTTGAACGAGAAGGGTATTTGAGATAATTTTGAAGCGGAGAAACCAGTAGAAAAGTGATTAAGCGTCTCTTTGAAAGAAGACCTTACCTACACTAAATAATAAAATTATTAGGCAACAGCCAGCAGCAACACTGAATAAGATAGTAATGATTTAATTATCAAAGTTGCAAGTGAAAAACATACGCTTTCGTATGTTCTAAGGAAGATAAAATCTCCTACTTTAAAGATTAGTTTCTATTGCAAAGTCACAAACTCGACAATTCCTTGTAAAAATACCCTTATTTTTGTTTGCTCTAAGCAATAATGTTAACGATACTTTAGATAGAATAGTTTAATATAATCTAATTGTTTGTATACTTAACGATTTCTAATTTATGTTATTTTACCAAAGAATTTATCGTAGACTTGAGTATAAATGGATATGATGTGAAGCGAGCTCAAAGAAATCCATCGATCTATACAAGCCCATAAAAATGATATTGGCTATAGAACATCACCTTCACTATAGTAACGTTAGGGTTCGCTTTTTAAAATGCTACCTTTGAGGTCGTATAATTCTGGTGTTTTATTGGGTAACTGGTGGGAGGAGAGAATATTAGAAAAAGTATGCGGTTTTCAGATAAATTCAATGTGTTCAGGAAGAAAAGTCTGCGCGATACAGTAAAAATGAGGATCAGTTGTCATCTAAACACTTTCTCAGTTTACTCACAGAGAGTACTCCTACTATGGTAGGCTTTATCAGCTGACTATACTACTGAATTAAGATTCAATGCTCAGCGATGCCGTCAGATGGATATTTGCGTTTTGGGTCTAATGTTCAGATAATAAATCCAGGATCATCTCCATATTACGTAAAATGTGGACTTGCGACCACACGCCCACCTCATTCTCTTGGCCTTTCAATAGATATCTCATGCAACCTAACTTTGGAACTTTCTAATTCCGATGACAATATTTTTGAGTCTTTGGGAAGAAATGGTTTACTGAGTGTTACCGCATCAAAGAATGTACAGCCATCTGCAAAAAATGTTTTCCGGATATTCTGGTAAGCCAATGAATAGTTTTCGATGTCAAACTTTATTACTCTGAAAGAACAAAAGTTCTGTATGTAAATTCATGACTATCAATATGGGGTTTCTAGCCAACGTCGTAGTTTAATAGCACTATCTTTTACACAATATCTTTTTCACAAGATAGATCAAATATTTTACCTGTTGTGCAATTGCATCTTGATTTTACAGAATGGGCTTCAAATTAATTTATTTCAGTCAGTTGTCTAGAGTTTTTATGGCAGATTCGCTGATATTTCAGTGAAGATTACATACAAGTAGTCAATGACTGGAACGCCTTACACGAACAAATGGTACTAAACCCATCAGTGAATATTTTTAAGGAGAAGCTGAACCTTCACTTGAAGGCAATCTGCCAGGATTGACACGGGTTCACCAACCTACTATCCGTATTAATGAAGAGTAAAGAAGGACGAATCTACAAACAAATAAAAGGAGAAAAATTGTGAAAAGATTGTTTTTGTAATTGTGAACACAATATGAGCAAATACAGTCATTCCAGTTGTCATAACTGTAGTAGACTGTAAAGGAACGCTTTGATCATATCAATATTCATTATTAGTAGAAATAACTGCACATTATTACTAAACGTCAAGAAAACGGTGAGAATGGACTGAAAGCAAAAAGATCAATTATTTCCTGTATTACTCTGAGTAAAGTTAGTAGTTATTAGATCTGATAGTTTGTTGATGCTTTTTGTGTAGCTTTTCAGAAACATACGATCCAGCAGGTTTTAACTTCATCAAGCTTGATTCACAAATGTAGCCAGCGACGTTTTTTTTGTCAACGAAATTCATCTGGCTCGCATTTTTTAAAATTTATGGTTTGTTAAATACTATATCTGATATCAAAAATTGATTTTTTTTAATATATGACCTTAACAGTGTCATAATCTAGTTTGATATGGGGCGTTTCTTTTGCACTTATCCTTCTAACTATTACAACAATAATATTCATTGGTGTTCTGTATTTTTCAAGTACACTAAACGAGCGTATTTAAGCAATATCCCAGTTGAAAACTTGAATAAACTTAGTTTGAATCAACAAAGTTCCATAAAATTTAGTTTTGAATGAATGGTAACAGTTTCGAATAAATAATTTCACCTAATAATCTGACACCAATCAGTATTTGCGAAGGGAATGCAATTAATAATTGGACTCCATAACCTATATCCACATTTACAAAAGCATATGTGAATAACAGTTTTTGCTAATAAACTGATGTGAGGAGTGTTTTAACAATAGCATCAATCGTGACTCAATAAAAAACGCGACACACTTATTTTATGAGGTTTATTCTCTCAGCATTCATTTTTTTAATCATATAGGCTTGATATTGATTAAAAGCAAAGAGTTTTATTTAATCCTTCAACAGTTTAAATCACTGAAAAATAACATTGGCTTCTACAAATTTAATGTCATCTGAAATAGAACAGAATCATCAGCACTTTAGACTTACCAGTCCTTATTTGTTTAAATTTCATTTACTTTTTTACTTCACATAGTTTACATGAGAGCCAATATGGTCGAGTAATTCGTTACGGTGAACCATTCGTTTTTGGATTACAACCAGACATCATCTCATCAAAATGTAATGCTGCACTAAAGAAAAAGTTAAATACAGATCAATGTCTATATTTGGCTAGTGATCTACAACACCTAGGTGATCAAAATTTACAGCCAGGTGCACAAAGTCTATACTTTGAAGTTGGGAGACCATCATTTCTGTCTCAGTGGCGTTTGGAGTATGAAGACCCACACTTACGTAAAGAGTTTGAAGGTAGGCCAGTAAAGGTAAGAATAATAAATTTGTGATGTAAACGAAACATTTTAAGGATATTAAAGAAAATTGGTATTACAGAAAAATGTATTCGCCGACATTGTTGTTTCGCTATAAATAATTTGTTCTTGAAGTTTGGCTAGTTCTCTGTTTTTGAAACTTATAATAATGATATTTTTTATGAAAGGCTCAGTATCTCAGTAATCAGAGCGTCGTGGTTTTGATATTAAAGGCACTGGGTTTGACTCCAAGTTCAGACATTACTGGGTTTCAGGCATGTACTACTAAAGAAACGCTTATCTCGAATTCTACTACAAACTGTACCCCATATATTCTAAATTTTTCTGTTACATTTTTAACTCGTCAGTTTAGTAGCAATATATTACGTAAAACATGTTAAGATCTAATGTGGTAACTGTCCCACTTCCTTACATCAATTTTTTATGAGAGTGAGCAAATTACCCACCTTTTCAGAAGTCAATTTTAATTAGTTTTTAAATTTTAACCTTATTTTTGTTGATTAATCTAAACAATTATTTCATTTTATCTGTTTACTCTGCCTCATTCCTTTTTTATAATCACTGAATCAGTTCCCTCAACATTATATGTACACCTTACCAATAAGTTCTAACCAACGGAAATTCTTTGTTCAAAGTTCACTGTCCAGCACATTCAACCAATAAAAAGCTTCAATAAACGTTTGTAAGGATCTATTTGGTAATCAGTGATATGAAAAAAACTTCTTCCAACGTCTTATTTGAAAGTTTATTTTATAACTTTCAATGTTTTGCTTCTTACTTTTGTTTTATTTTAGTCTGACCAAAAGTTAATCATCAAACATGTTCGAAGTAATAAAGCATTAGCCTTGGAACCAAGTTTTACAGCTCGGTGAGCATAACTTCTGACTTTTGTATAGATTATGTTTTTATTGACTATGGCGGTGGACCTCAATAATTTTGTATCATTAAAATATGTACGGTTGTAGTTTTAACATGACTCTTCGATTTTGACAGCAAGTGATATTGCACACAGCCGTTGACCATTTTTTAGTTACCCATTACATAGGTCAATTAAGTAAGGTAAATAGTATTTTTACATCAAGTGCTCCTTTGGAATCGGTAAAATATCTGCACCTTATTTTCTAGCAATTTTCTCCTAGCCTATCTATGCTTATTCAATGAACCTAGTATTTCTTTTTAAATTAATACACATTTGGATAGAAATAAATGTTCTTTAAATGGTCTAACTCATATTGTTTTATTCTTCGGATGATAGTGTTTGTTTTTCGTAAAGTGTCGACCGAGTTGCGATTACTGGAATATTTGCCTCTTGAGTCCCTATAATGGTTAAGAGCAAGTATTGTTTCAAAGCAAAATCTCACTGATACTATTCAGTACACGTACAAAAATCAACACAGTATTTTGTCTCTTGCCCATGAGCTCATACTTCTACTTGGCCTGAGAGTAGTAGGTCGATTTTCATACTCAGGTAACCTACTCAAAGATGATTAAATTTATCCCTACGAAAATAATAAAAACGTTAGATAACATCGCTGCCGATCTTTAAATCCCGTAATTTTTTACTGGCATTAATTGTGTATTTAAAGTCCAAACCATATTCTAGGACGTGAAATATATTGTATTACCTACTTCAAGTAATTATATTTCGGACGTTACGACCTCAAAGAAACTTATACAGATAACTGAAAAAACCTCCGTATAGTTATCAAATTGTCAAAAATTTTCACACAACAAAATTTTGAAGAAGAACACTCTATAGAGGAAATAGATTTGATCTGCCCGTACCATATGAGTTTATCACTTCTATGCCGATGATACTATTTCGAATGATAGTGAATAATTTACAACATTTGCATACTTACAGAGTTTTTCAATTAATTATTAACGATAATTGTTTGATTGATTCTGTTTATTAGCACATTATTCGGACAAGAAACCTGCTTAAGCGTACGAACATACTATGATTCTCATAAACTGGAGCGTGACGTCAATGTTTGGATGTTAGCAACAGCTAAACAACAAGGTTTATCATCTATTTCAGATGAACAAGCACCACATAAAATTCTTGAAAATACTTCTTTGGAGGGTGATTGTGCAGCAGGATCAAATCTTAGCGATGAAAAACAAGTTCATTTTGAGCAGAATACCAATTCAACTGATGCGTGAATAACATTATAGACCTTTATTATTTTATACGTATTTAGTTAACTACTTAAAAGTTTGAAAGTAGTTAAACGGTGACAAACAATTATTCAGTAATATATGTAGGTGAAATTTTACAGTAGAACATCTATCAATTCATCATCGCGTATTATCTGAAGTATAAAATACAATTCTAATCCATGCACTTCAAATCAACTGCTTTTGAAGTGTCTACTAATAAAAATTTCCTAACTATCAAAATAGTGTTAATAATTTTAAAAAGTATAATTTATTTTGATATACCTGATAAATATCTATTTGAAATTACATAGTAAATAATAAATGAACACTCATAATATTGTTTAGTGCAAATGAATCGTCAACATTGAGAGAAAAAAGTAATTCAAATTAGTTATGGATTCGTGTGCTCACTAGTGGCTGATTACATATGGAAATCCCATTAGTCTTAGTAGAAAATAGTGATCAGTGGAGTTCATTTGAAAGACGTTAGATCAACTAATTCACAAGGTACATGCTAGTGGGCACATGATAAATGTGAGGACTAATAATACTACCAGGTCTCTCAAACCGAAGTAGACATAACTCTATTCAAACTTGAGACTTAGTGACTGAAGTTCGAACATCTGAAATAGTAAGTCACCGCTTCACAGAGTTCGACAATGTCGAGTGTGAAGGGATTGCTCACCGAAAAAGATAGGAAATAGATTCACAGTAACCTGAACATATGATTTTAGAAAAGCAGACCAATGGATGTTGATTAAATAATCTAAATCAAGGTATTTACCATGAGAGCTGAAGGTGCTGAGTTTAGTCTGAGGTGAACCTGGGAATATGCACTTCTGAAGAGTCCCATACTAGGACGAAATAACTGTCCAATACTAACTGATTCTTAATGGTTATCTAAACTAGACCATTCAATGATCTCTAAAACATTTGACGATTCTCGCGATACTGACAATTATGTCTGGATTTTGACAACTTGCTCTTTGTGATAAATCTATGGAATAATTCAATAGAGATAATCTACATCTCTAATTCATTCAAGTTAACCACATACATTCTGATGGGTTGGCAAAACTTAAACAGAAATACTCCAAAAATAATAAGAGCGGTTTGGAAAATGAAAATGAAATACCAGAAAATTTGTGTTTTCACTATCTGTTTCAAGTGAAAAGTTAAACATTTTACGACAATACCTCATTTATATTGCTTTAATTTCGTATACCTGTCTATTGTTTTTCAATGGAGAAATTACAGAAAATCTTTGACTGTTCAGTTTTATGCTTAATGTGTTTTGTAACAGATAATTCGAATCAAATTCATAGATCAATCTATGAATTTGAATGAAATACTGGGAAGTTGTTATTTATAGGTCGTTTTGAGTCAGAAAAATTGATAATTTGTAATAGAATTGTGATTTGTGTATAATAATATACCATGTTCTCCTAGTTTAATATATCATTTAGAATACAACAGATCTTCATAGGAATTAGTCACTTAAGAAGTCAGTGAAATAAAGGAACTGAAAAATTTCATTTTAGAAACGAAATCTGACATACATTCTAACAATACCATGTCTTCAATATAATAAGATCTTAGAGTCTATTTCAAATGTAATGATTTTAAAGAGATGCATAAAAAGTACTACAAATAATAATTAGAGAATATATTCATAGTAAATTCTATTCATCTGTTAGACACAAACTAATGATAGGAAGTTGATTAATCGATTATCTTGACAATCTTGATAATCATCAATACCCTTAGTGGATAAGTAGCTGATGTAAATTTGAAACAGGGCTACAATATTGATTTTAAAAATGAAATCTGAATTTATATGCACTAAGCCATAAACTAATTTAGTTCACTAAAAGAATCGTTTCCAACAATTTCATATTCAATGGTGTACAGTAGTTTATTTTTCTTTTTGATTAATATCATGGACCGATTGATGTTAGACCACCATTGAAAACCTGGAAGCACTGTATGGCCGTTTCGTCCTATTGTGGGACTTATCAGCAGTGTGCATCCACGACCCCGCTCACGGGATTCGAACCCAGGGCCTTCAATCACGCGCGTGAACGCTTAACCTACTCGACCACTGAACCGGCATCCAACGGTGTTAATTTCTAACCTCAACCAATCCACGAAGTTGCGCGACCATCTTCCATTGTACTGAAGTAGACACCTGTTTCTACCCGACACGGATTAACTCCACTGGTCACGGCTTCTCACCAGAACTCCAAGAATTTTCTCACAAAGCTAGTCACTAGTGAGCACATGGTAATAATCAGTTTAGAGTTGTGGAGATTATTAAGTTTTTGACGAAACGGCCATCTAGTGCTTCCAGGTTTTCAATGGTTGTCTAACATCAATCGGTTCATGATCTCAATCAAAAACTTAACAATCTCCACAACCCTTAAACTGATGTTTATTTTTCTGTATTATATTGAGCCAACTATGGTTTTCAGTTGATTACATTAAGGTTAAAAATGCATCAGTACCAGTTGAAGTATTGAACACCTTAAACTGACCAAGGGAATGAAAGTCAGATATTATGGACGACAAATCATCTCATAAATATCTTGAATAGAATGAAAAACAAGCGCATAACATTATTTAAACAATTCAACAGGTTGAAATCATCTAGTTTTACCACATGCAAATGGAAAAGTTATCCCTTAGTTAAATAGTTTGGAATACTTAAAGCTTTACGTAGCTAAATCATAGTATCGCTAATTTGTAAAGTAGGAGATACAAGACCTGAAAGCAATTCGAAATCAAGTCAATATTCTTTAACTTATACATTTAACTTTATTGATGTTGTGGAGAATGTAAATTTTGAATAAGGTAGTTATGTTTTAGAATATTGATTGATTGTTTCTGAATATTCTGTTACATAGAGACCATATGGTTTATTAACAACCAAATTAATATAAACGTGATCGCTCAGGTTTATACTATATATATCACAGAAGCATGTGGATGACTAATTAGACAAGGAAATGATCAGATGAAGGAACAAATCTTTTAAGTTGCTTCTGAACACTGGTCGATGTGAAATTTCTCACGGCTTCAAAGAACGTTCATTTGAGAAAGTTATAAATACTACTCTTCAAGATGTCTTCATTTATGTCACATTAGAAACCAATTTTAGTGACCACAGTTTTTATAATCTAAAGTTATCTCACTTCTTCGAGTGTAGTCAGTTTATAACTTCATAAGAAAAATAATTATCCTTTTTATCACTTCATTTTGTTATCGAATACATGGTATAATGTTTATTCCTAGTTAAGTCACCTCCTAGCTTACTTCCAAACTACCTCTTTATTAGCCAATATAGTAGGAATGCTGAGAGGAGCTGAATATTTAATGCTTTCTTCCATTACTCAAAACATTTATGTTGAAATTTATTTACTCATTGGATATCTCATAAATGTTCACAATATATTACATTATTTTTTCTGTATTAATAACAGCAATAAGTGTATGTTTTAAAAATGGATAGAGTAATAAGAGCCAGATTGTACTTGCCTTTTTCAGTATGGCTTCGTATAGAAAATGTTTAAACACAGTACTGTTGAGAAGTATTCAAATAAGGTTTCTGTGGACAAACGTAGTCCTACATAAGGTAGTTTGCCTAATAGATCCCCCTATTTAACTTTAAGTACATAGCAAATATGAAATTTTACATCAGGGAAGGATTTGTATCAGATGAACATTGAAAAGCAGGGAATAGCGTGCAGTTGTTTCGTCCTCTTGTCAGACCATCCACAACCGCTCTAGAGATTGTACCCAAGATCAACGACCTTCAAGGTAAGTATTTAATCTTTAGTTCGCTGAATTGCTATCCAATCATCTGCGTGTTAAGTGATTGGAGATAATCGATAGGAAACCCTCAAAATAGGTTTCAATACAGCGTACCTACAATTTCGAGGGAACTGGTTTTTTATATGACTCTGTTATTACTTAAGGGACTGGACAAACGTAAAGTTGGCCACTGCTTAGATTATATCAGTTGTAAATATTTCAGTTTTACAAGAAATCAACTGCCTTTCGAATAGCTCAGTGCTAACATTCCAGACTGTGAAGCTAGGTTACAAAGGATTGAATTCCAATGAAAGCATAATTTTCACCAACAACACAAGTACATCCTGCTTATGAGTCCACACTAGCATGAAACCCATTCCGAGGGTTCCCTTCTCACTACTTTCAACCGTCTAAAATCTCGACGCAGTGAGAACAACACCAATTCGCTCAGACTAGTGGCCACGTTGTAACTTGGACATTCACTGGTAAGGAATTGCAATTCATGGCATTGGTTACTGATCAGTGAACAATCAGTTTTAATAGTTTACATTTCCAACTTCACGCAATTCGCGATACTGAGCGATCAATATCAATCGCCATAAGTGAAGACAATCTGTGATGTAAAACTCTAAATTCAGCGGACTCCACATCACATTCACAAAAAAATTCTACACGGTGTGTACTTTTGTTAAATCTTCTAAACAGCTTTTACTATTGGATTCAAGAATCCGTAGCTTCGTGTTTTAAAATAGCTGACCTCCAATTAGGTTTAACTTCAAATCTTACTCTAATTTCTATTGTTTTAGTCAATAGAGTTACCTAATTAGTAAGGAAAAAAGATGGGTGAATAAGTTAATACTTACTGTAAGTTACTTAACAGTTGACTAAACCGAAAATTTAAGTCTTTTGATAAGACACGTTCAAAGTAAAATCCGCTTGTTTGCTACATCATACCAACTTCATTCATAATGCTCGCCAATTATCGATTTAAGAACAAGTGCTCAACTTTGTTGAATATATATCAACAATGATGAAATACTAAACAGTTGTCGCGACCTAATGTATGACTTCTTAACAATGAACACCCTCTATCTTACCACGAAGTTGAACCCAGGACTTTCAGGTCTTAACTTTCAAACCAGAGTTAACTTCCACTTATTTACATAACTGACAAGTGGACTGGGCCATGTTGGTGAGTGTAGACTACCTATTTGGGATTTGCAAGACAATAGCAACGGATGGTTAGAGACCTTGAATGACATGGCTCAAAATTGTTTGCAGTGGCGTAGGTGAATCCACTCTTTGTGTGCTCTCAAGTTTTAATCTTCCGAATTCCTAATGTCCCTCTTTTTCTCTTTCCAAATTTATTTCATTGGATTATACTCCTTGAATAACATCTTCAAACCCAAATGTTTCCAATTACTGCTTAAACTCTTACTACCTCTACGACTACGGGATTTGAATCGACAACTGCATCTCTTTGCTAATGTGGTATGCCAACTGTAACTGATGTACGTATGTAT